ATACACTACCAACATTCTGTGCATGACCGTCTGATCATATGTTTCCTCTGTCTGGCTTAAATGCAATCATGTCTAGACACTTTTTTCTTACTTTCTGCTGCTGCATTGCTTATCATGTGCACCTTATGTCAAAAGTTTCCTATTTCAGGAAGTTAAATACGACTCCTTCCCCTAATGTCAGACAGTAGCTTCATGCTTTTGTATAGCGAAACCAGGAACAGGACATTTGTGAGCTGCCTGCTTCACTCTCACTCATAAATCAGTGGTTTTCCAGTCACGTGCATTTTTTCTTTTTTCTTTTTTTTTCTTATGAGCCTTTGCATTCAGTTCATCTGAGGAGCCTACAGTCTTGAACTGCAAAACAGATTCGACCCTAATCTGTAAATATAAGGATAAGCCTGATTTTTTTTAACCTGAAAAATAAGGGATTGACACAGATACAGTGCATCTTAAGGAAGATTTGATGCGCCTGGTTCTTTCTTTCCTTTTCACCAAAATATTTGTGCAAAAATCTACGTTTGACATGGGTGGTAAACAGATTATACCACGATTACACTCTGTAAGAGCGCACAGTACACATGTTGTGTATGGTAGGGGTGAAACAACAAGCTGCCCTTGCTTGTCTAGTGCCTGCCAGGCCCTCAGTGGGATGGGCAGTTTGTGAAAATGACAGGACATGCCAACAAATTGCATCACTTTTGGCTCCGTGGTCGAGGACAATGGGCCACCATATGCCGAAGTTGGGAAATGAATGGAGCTCATTTGTGCTGGCACCCTGAGCCCCCACACCCCCGACCCTGCTGGGGCTGAGGCCGACACAGACAGACGAGCCCACCCTCTGCCACGGCACTGTGCTGCTGTCCACCACAGAATCCCACAAGCCAACAACAACAACTATATTGTTGTATTTGATATGGAAAGTCAACCCAACAGGAAGAGTATATTTATACAGTTACACAGGTATACGTTTAAGTTATAAAAAGATGCGTTTTTTTTCTTTGTTTTTAAAAGCAGCTCTGTGCATGAGTTTGTGTTTATTATATCTCTGTGTCTGTGTGTGCGTGTCTGTCTGTGTATGTGTGTGTGTGCGGGTCTGGGATGATAGCAGATGATTAAGGAGTGGTCGCTCTGTTGACATGAGATACTAATGAGGATGAAATGAGAAGGTCAGGGCTCGTCTCCAGAAGGGGGACATCCTCCCCTCCCCTCATCCTCCCATCGTCACCACCCCCCTACCTCACCCCCCATCTCCATCTTCGTACCCCCCTGGTCGCCTCCCTGCTCAGGATGGTCGGCTAATGCTTCTGCTATTCATCACAGATCATCACACACGTCCATGTAACACACAAAAACTCTACATTCGACCACTCCAGCTTCTGCTTTCAGTTCTTCTCTTTCTCTATCATTTTAAACTTTCGTGTTTACACTACACACAGTTGAAATACTGAAAGTGCAATAAGCGTCCAGGATTACATCATGCAGGCCCTAAATCTATTATAGAGTTATTACCATAAAATATTTTTGAAAAACAAACAGAATTTAATTTTTTAAAACAGTTGTTTTAAAAAAATGTAATCTGTAATGTAATAAAGTATAGATTTTTTAATTATAAATAAAATGATTTTACATGTTTCCCAGGTCTCTTATCATAAGAAGTGCATTTTTTTATAACAAGCAACTTCAAAAAAGTTAAAACATGATAAAGGTAGATTGAAAAAAAAATCAGCGACACCTAGTGGTGAAGTTACATGTTGTCGCTATCCTTGCTATTCCTACCTAAGCAGGTAGAAGAACACTAGTAAATGTCCCCTTATAAATAAATAAAACCCACGCTGTTTAGACTGTTCTTCATTACTGGTAAATTGATGACTACTCCCAGGTTGACCCTGCACATATTACAAAATTCAAACCAACTGTCACACAAGACAATACAAGTCGTTGACTTAATATACGCTGGAGGAATGTAACGACGGCACCTCCAGACAAAGGCAGGAGTGATGGCCATCAGCAGTGTGTGAGTGCAGGGAAGCTCTTATTAATGGAGGTGTGAGGGTCTCTATCAGCATAGTGAACTGTTGACCCCGACAAGGGGAAGGAAGTGCTCGGCCAGCTGCACGCCATTTTTCATCTCTCTGATAGACCCCTCCACCTCATAGAAGGAAAAAGAAGGAGAGCGAGATAGAGAGAGAAGAAGAGGGAGCGGCATAGAAAAGAAGGCGAGGGGGCGTGTCAAATAGTAGGAAGAAGTTGGTCCTGTGAAGTGTGTCGAAGTGTTAGATGGAGGCCTCCTAATCTGTGACCCCTGTGATTTTAAAGAGCATCCAGCTCACCTCGTTAATCAAAGGCTGATGCGTATCATGGTGACACCCCAGCCCACAAGCACCCCCACCCCCAGTCTGTGCACCAACCTGAACCTAAACACCTCCAGGTCCTTGTTGCACTATGTCATTTTTCACAGGAGGATCATGGGAAGATAAATGATCCTCTGGTTGTCAACCAGCTCAAGACCACAGATATAAAAAGACATATTTCATTTTGTCGGACATTTAAGGCAAAATATTAAATATCAAAAGAAGTCATTGTGTTTTTGGAAAGTTTTCCACTTAAATGTTAATTCGAACTTTACTCTAAGAACTGATCCAAGAGTGCAAACCTGAGGCTACTTCTTAGAAGAAAAAAAAAGGAAAATTTAACTTTCACTCATAAACGCAAAGCCTTAGGTTAGGAGTACAACGGCAGTCTAGAAGTAAGTTTTGATTCAGCTGGCAGCAGGGGGCAATCTTTTGCAATTTGCCAAACTCTAGTCTGGATATGGGCCATTCAAATCTCCCCCACTTTGTGTTGTCATAAAGTAGGTTTACATGAGTGGTAACACTGCTGCCGATGAAGTTCCAGATATACTTCTAGAATTGGTGGAATTCAGCTGTGGACAACACTAGACATCAAGAACCATGATGCGTAAAGGTATTAGCATGATGTTTCTTTTGAAATATATGTAAGAATCTCAATATGTTCAGTCAATATGTATAATTCCTTTGCGACAATAGCTACAAGTCGTCCATCATGTGGGTCCTCCTTTAATTTAGTATCATATTACTTTAAGTTGCAGATTTATTTGCAGCTACTTTTGCCGCTTTATATAGATTGTTGACATAAACGAATATAACAACTGCCATATAAAAAGAACAGACAGTACTTTGCCTTTGTATAAATCTGTCAGGGTTGTTTTTTATGTGGAAATTCCTGTGTAAATTACCCATCAAGTCTCAATTTAATTAACCAAAGACTTAATAAAAGAATTCAAATGCAAATTGAACTTGAGGATTAATGCGTTTTTGGCATACAAGTTCTTTCCCCCCGCGGGGCATCCGACTCTCCTTTTCCAATTGAAATGAACAAGAGAGGCAGTTGGACGGATTTTTATAGAGAAGTTATTCAAAAGCATTCTCAGTTGCAAGTTGCAAGTTTTGCTTTATTTTAGAGAAAATGACAAATGTCCATATGTTCGACACAAGTTCGACAAGTATTTGTTTTCCATCAAATGTCAGTCTTACTTTATAAACTCAAAAATAAAGCTTTTTTTTAATAAGAAGTTCATCGTGTTTTGTTGTTGATAAACACGCTGTGTATTAGACGTAGCTTCAGTCAATATGATCGCTCTGGCTCTCTGTTTGGTTAAGAGTAAGGGGAAGGAGAGAGAGAGAGAGGGGGAATGGAAAAATGAGCCTGCCAGTGGTTAATTGAGCATACAAATTCCTAATGTGTCAGGCGGTGGCCTTGCAGATGAGGGATGGCACTTTTTTAACGACGCATCTTCCTTTGTTTCCTCTTTGAAGCTAATGAAGTCGGCCTTCCTGTGGCCACCTGGGCCGGATGCTCAGACACAAGAGAGACTCTCACATCCCCATTCACAAATTCTGACCACGAGTCATCATCTCTAATGCCACCCCACTCTGCTGCTACCCTCAGCCAGCCAAAATACCCCCCCCCACACACACACACACACACAGGAATGACACACAAAAAAGCCTAAAGTTCAGGCTCCTTTAGAGTGTGTACTGTACACACAAATATGATGCTGTTAGCTTTGTGCACTTCTGATAAACTCACACTGGCGGCTGTTGTTTACAGCCAACGCAACAGACGTGTTTATTTTTACTGTCTCCAAACAGCAAGCATCCATCATATAAAATTTTTTTGGTCTTTCATTTGTCTTTTTCCTACATGCCTTTAGGTCACCAACTAATGAGCTTAACACTGAGGAAACATGGAAGCGATTAGGCAAAGCTGTGCTGTTTCAACAACGGGATAATGATATTGTGCCGTATGATTACGCACATTTATATCAGCAGATAAAGACGAAAAGGAAAAATGAGGTAAAGTAAGCTCAGGGGAGGTTCACATCTCGTTCTTTGAGAGGATTTCACATGAACCAACCGGAGTATTAGACACTAATGAATGATGACTGCTGTCGTTGGCAGCCTCGGACTAACTCCTCATAGCCTTGCTCTGCTTTAGCAAAGTGCTTTTTTGAAACCTCTTTCAGTTTCTCCTTCTCTGCTGTTCCAACTCGGGCCAAGTAGCTATGGTCACCAAAACATGTTCAAGGTGCTCCGTGACCATATGTTTGCTCATTGGGGAGCAGAGCAGGGAAGGGCTGGACTGCATGACCTTCACCCAGGTTGAGCAATGAATACTCCAGGCTCCGCTTGCTTGGGTTCATGCCAGGTGAAAACAGTTTGTGAGCTTCCCAGTCATGAAACAGGAGCTAATGTAGCTGTTAACTGCTGCTGCTGCTGCTGCTGGAGAATGAGGTAGGGAAAGTGGGGAATTGTCAACTCTTTTGGACGAGAAGCCCGCGTGCACTTTGTTCTTCTCTCTGTTTGTATTTGAAATTTTCAAACCACAGCATAATAGGCAGTGGAAGTGTTTCATTAAAATGCATTCTTTCAGTGGATGGTGCATGAAGTTGTAAAATTGTCTTGATTAAATTAAAAACATTTATTACTGCAGAAATTCCAGCTTTATTTTCAAAGTGTGTAGTCTGGCTTTAAATGTCTGAGTCGGAGCTCTCATATTCACTTTAGTCAAACTTTTTATATTTTCAGTTAGTGTTGCTCACAGAATAATCTATTCCTTTTTCAGGAACAAAGTGTCAGACAGATTTTCAGACAAAGTAGCAGAACTGACATGTCTCAGTGAGTTCTCTGTTTTAGTTTTGTTTGTTTGCAAGTGTAAACTTTTTCTAGTATTTACTTTCAGGATCAAAGTGACAAAGAGAAAGCTTTGGTGTCAGACATACATACACTGTGACAAAGGGTCACAATTTGTTCAACTGTCCATCTTTCCCAGGCACAGCAGTGAGGTTTCTCTCCTGAGGGAAGAAGAGAAGAAGAAAGAGAAAAAAGACAGAAAAGGTTTAAAGACCAGAAAATACAAGCTTAATACCTTGAGCTGCAACATTGGTAATGAGATGGATTTGAACGTGTCATCATAACAAGTTACAAAGATAAAGGACGTGAAAGTATATAGCACATGAAGGACATTTAAACAATTGATTATTTTGTTTTATTGTTTGTATTGAAATCAGTGGAAGAGGGGAGGGTTTGTTGGAAGAAAGCTCCTATTGGCCAGAAGTGGTACTGCCCTAAAGTTACAAAATCAAACTAATTGTCCATTTTTCAGTCTATGGTTGTGGCATAGTGATTGGCATCCTAACATTACTGGGAAAGGTATTTTACTGGGCCCTAGTGTATTGCAAAATTATTATTTATTATGATCATTCTCATCATTCTGGAGTCTCACATAAACCCTCACTGACAACCTCAAAATGTGGAGATACAGTGGATCTTTACATGGAGGGAAAAGGCTAAAGGAAAATGCCATTATTCTCCAGATAATTTAAACATGTGCTGGCATTTATCTTGTTGGTCCGTGTCCGAACACTAATGACAAACTGTTGTCATTAGTGAACTGAATCAAAGCCAAAGGCATGCCAGCCCAAAACTTGGATCCACTAATGACCCAATAACTTACTAATGTGGTACGACGTTACATTATTCTACGTACGTAAGTATTAGCGTACAAAGGTAAGATGAGTAAAAATCAACATAAAAGTGTCAAATATAGACCTAACATTATTAATATCTACCCTTAATCATCACATTTGGTGTGGAGATTTTAAACTTTAAAGCAGGTTTGCCCAATATGGGGATCACAATCGACTGACCGATCACAGAAAAAGTGCCATTCAAACAGATAGATGTTAGTCTGTTCATGTATATATATATATATATATATAAACAGGTAGCTCACAAGTCATAAAAGCTCTAAACTATAAAATGACTGCTGTCACTGACACATGAGCCCCCACCCTTCATCTAACCCCACCACCTTATACATACACACCGTGTTCCCCTGATTGTGGATGGATAGATGGTTTGTGGGGAGGAGGCGGAGGTTGTGTGTGTGTGTGTGTGTGTGTGGTGGGGAAGCGGGGGTTGAAATATATAATCTCCTGAAAAGAATGAGGCCCACTGGGATTTTGTCAAAGTGGCCCCTCTCCATGGGGCTGGGGAAGAGTGGGTGAGTGCTGGTGGTTGTTTCGTATTTGCTTGTGTGTGTGTGTGTGTGTGTGTGTGTGTGTAGCAGAGATGTGTAATCGGTGGTGAGATGGAGGGACTTAAACATGACCACTCCACACTGTAACCCGAGACAGAAGGGGGCCAATCTGTCAAATAATTAGCTGTTGCCCAGCACAAAGGTTTTATTTGCAGGAATTTCATCGAGGCAGGATTGAATAATATGTCTGTGTATTGTGCGGGGTCATGGGAACATCATCTCTTACTGGTGGGCCATAAAAGACGGATAAATGATAATGAGAAAAGGCTCCGGTAATTCAATTCCTCAAGCTTTGGTTTCCATCTTTTTCCCTTCATCCCCCTCTGCTTCCCTCTGCACCCCTGCCACTGGGTCTCTCTTGTGCATTCACTCTGCACAGATAATTGTGGAACTAGTGTAGTGAACTTATTTAATGTGCTGAAAAACATATGCTAATATGAAAAGGGAGACAAATCTAAATGTCCTGTTTTTTGCTGTTCAAATATCATTCCCTCACTCCCTCTGTTAAAGTCCCACAGACAACATTTGAACACCTGGTCTGTAACATTAGGTTATTGTATTTAGTAACATGCCGAAGTTAATTGTGACGTTAAAAAAAAAAAAAAAAAAAACTTCTTACATACACAGATAAGTCAGTGCCTGCAGACACTGCATGTTGCTCTGTTATCTGTCAACAATACTGGCTGATTGGATATATTGGTCATTGTTTTTTGTTTTGAAAGTTTTAAAAGCACAGTTGGATTAAATGTGGTCCATTCAAAAATATTCATTATCATCTCACAGGCAAAGTGTCTGAAGAGAAACATGGCCCAGGAGCAGACGCTGGTCTGGATTAAGGTCAGACAAAAACACATTTGTTGCCTTCAAGGTAAGTGGTTGCCTTAATACCATTAAGACATTAAGAAGAAGAATTTTTGGCTCGTCTCTTTATCAGGAATCGTCACAGCAGTAGTCCACATGGTGATTTCCACATGGTGATTTAATGGTTTTTAGACTGGATGCCCTTGTTGAACCAACCAGCAACAAAGTTGTTATTTAGGGACTAGGTGAAACTGGCAGAGATGTGCCCAACCATTAGCCTTTAAATTTTAATATATTAACTCCTATGCTCTTATGTATATAATAATACAATAAATAAAATAAATTTATACTATCTGTACATGAACTGTACAGTACTGTGTTCTGCAGTCATGCCACTGTGGACCATGTACCTTGTTGTCTTCATTTCATACAGGTTATCCATGTCCTTCTGGGTGAAAACAGACCCAGTTGGTGTCAGTAATGCCATTAATGGAATTAAAGCTAAGAGGTACAGCAGAGGTTGGAAAGATCAGCTTATCTCCTTATCTCTTTTTGAGTAATACAATATCTTTAGGATACAGAAATACAATATTGTTATTCATATAGGCGTAAAGTGGTGTACTGTTGGTAGTTACTTACAACAACTTACTACAAAATGTGGCGCTATTTTGAACACAACTTTATTGGAGGTATAGCAGCAGGACATCCTTCCAACTGTATCAAGACCAAAGTTTGCATATGGGGATCGAGTGCTGACCAAGATGTCTCTGAATTCCAAACCTAAATGTTTTGATGTTGTGGAAGATATTTGAAATAAACTTTCATAGACTATGATAGGAAGGTAAGGCTAATCCAGCTGCTCCACCATGTTTACATATGAAGATAAACAGAAGTTTTATGAGGGTCATTTTTTCGAGGTCTTTTTCTTTAATATCTTTGGCATATGGCCGACATATTGATTACTAAAACATAAACAAATAGATAATCAACAGCATGTGCCAAACAATCCAAAACCCAGCCACCCAGTTGTCTCTTTGTACATTGACCCTTGACCCCTGAGAGCAGCCAAGCAGGAAGTGGATAGTGTTAAAAGGCATTGATTGGTTTGTGGTCTATAGATGATTGTTTATATCATTCCATACTGCAGGTTTGACCTTTGGTGACCCCTCTGTGGACCAATCCACTGAAAGCCATGACCTGCATCCATTTGCAACAGCGCTAATTAGCTTTGACAGGCCCCAGGTTGGCGTCCCGGTTGTAAACCCTGTAGGTGCCCTGATTGGAGAAAGAGGCAGAGTGACTACTCAGCTGCATGTTACCATTTTCTCACGCCAAATGTCAAACACATTAAACTTAATGTACCAGCAAATCTTACTCAATTATTTGTATGTTGTTGACCGGCGTGCACGTGTGTGTGCGTCTAAATGGTGTTCATACGTCGGTGTATATTCGTCTGTCTGAAGACACTCATGCATGCTGGTGTTTACACGTAAGTGGAGGAGGGACATAGGGGAGAGACATTTTCACCTTCAGTGAGGTTTTTCATTCTGCAACACATTGCTGAGCCATGAGGAAAGTCTCTGGTAAGTAAAATAATTAGATTATGGCAATCTGCAATCGCGCTAATTATAATGAAAGAATTTTCCAATTATTATTCCATGCCCATTCTGTTCCTCTCTAATAAAGAGGGGCACTGATGCAAAACAAAATGCTAGGACTCCATTTCCTGCTTGTGCCTTAAAGCTATTCAGAGATGAGGGATGTACACTCCCTCCAAATATCAGCCCTGTACCCCACAAATAACATCTGCCTACTGAACATACACACATCGTTGGCACGTGTTGTAGTCACTGCAATTAAATCCAAATATGTCAAGTTATAGCTTTATATTATTTTAATCCATCATTTTTTTCCTTTGATGATGAAATGATTATTAACAACCACATAATGTATAAAAGTAATTTCTTTTAATCTTTATGTCTCTTTTATTGTTTGTGGTGAACCTGACATGTTTTTCACAATTGATTCGAGTTGATTCATTGTTTACGCTCAAATATATTTTAAAAAATGAACAATTATTTATCTAGTAAAAAAAATCCAGTGTACGTATGTTATTGTGGACTGTGTCCTTGGTTTTGTGGCATCAAACGGACATAATTCACTCACTTGGCTTGTGACAAATCATTGTATTAAGTCTCCTCCCCTCACAGTATCAACCTCACTCCCCACACTCATGTTCTCCCCTCAGTATCCGTCACTCATATGACTCTGTGCCTGACCTGTCAGTCTTCCAGTAAATTCCCTAGATCACAGTACATCTGACAGTATTTCATCTCGGATTTGAGGATAAGTGAGAGGATTTTAGTTCAAGCTCAGAGCTTAGTAAGAAAACACTGCTCAGTGTGAAAAGCGAAGGCGTTTACATGATGTGGGATTCCCTCTTCCTCATCCTATCCTTTCTTTTTTTTACCCTTTTCCCTCTGGTTTGCCCCCTATTTGCAGCGTGGTGTTGATTTAGCTGTGTCCACAGGACACTGGATGAATTGTAAAGGAGCAGTGCACTGTGCTGCTAACCCATGTGTTTGGTTACTCCATGACTGGACTGTGGGAGGGAGAGGAAAGATGTTTTTTAATTACCCAAACCCTTTGGCTCTGAATTACTATATCAACATGACGGTGCAGATGATGTGGAATGAGGATAACAAACACAGGAATCGATCATTGTCTACTGAGGAACAGACCCGTACCTGTAGATGGTGCAGTTCTTAAAGCATTGGTTCCCAACCTTTTTTTGGCACGTGACCCCATTTTGACATCACAAATATCTGGTGACCGCAGACAATTTAGTAGCTGTCACTTGTGCAGTGACGTGATCTCAGACGTCGATCAAGATCCAGCTCAGATATTTTTATATGCTGCATTTAAAAAGTAATTGTAATTAGACAAAAAGGT